ATTATGGCAACGTTACATATTTGGCGTCCCTGGATGGCTATGAATGATTACATATTTGGCGTCCCTGAGCCGGTTTTCTTACAACTGTATGCCTAAATTATCATGTTACTGCTATCAGGCTTTGATCGGTGGACTTGGATCTTATCATTTGGGATTAATTTACCTACATGTGCCCCCCAGGCAAGTGAATGAAGACAAGGAAAACAGAGGAAGCCAAAGATACAGCAAGAGGGCATCAGCTCCAGGCCCTGCAGGAGAATCCATTAACTCCTCTTGTGTTTTACAGGGAAAAGGGCTAATATTCCCTCTAGGCAACCAGATGCTAAAATATATTAATGTTTCTGAGATATTAATTGACATGTTATGTCACAGAGTGAAAACAATGGGTATTTGGGCACCAGCTGTCATGGGCTGTATTGATGTTAAGCTGCATTGATGAGTCAGTGGCATCCTAGTATTGATGCAGTCTTCAGCATTTTCTGTCCTGATCAATGGCCCTTTTTACATAAGCCCTGAGTAATTACCACACCATTCAGGGGTGTGCAAACAGGTTAGACTGGACCTATGATTGAGAAGGAGTCTAAGGACAGGATGCACTGGAATGATGTGTTGTTATACCCGGCCATCTATATATAGTCATATCCTGAATGAGCCTGGGCAGCTGGCCACACAACCCCCTCCCCCCAACTCCAACCCCAATCCCCTTGCAAGTTAGGTGCCACTGTTAAGGCATAAAAAGCCCCCACCAAGACAGAACTTGGACCCTTTGGAAGAAGAAAGGTTTGCGGGACAGATTGGACTCAGGGAGGAGACTGACATTGGACTTGAAGGAATGAAGGTGGGGGAGGGCATGAGGGAAGTTAGTTCTTCAGGACAGCCAGGACTGATTCCCATAGGGTATTTGTGACCCAATGTGTGTTTGTGTATGTCTTTTAGAACTTTTAGAGTTTTTTTTTATGAAGTGCTCTGGGTGTTGAATGGAAAGTCAAATGTTGTTAACCACTAGAAAATAAAAAAGACACTTAAGCTATACCAGTGTCTGTTGCACCTGATATACCCCCACATACTTACAATTTATGTTGTTTGACAAAGTATATCAGTCAACAGACTACAACACTGTGAACTACACATAAACATGTTTTGGCCTTTATCATAAAACTACAAAAAATTGCTTAAGTTGTACTAGAGGTTCGATATTTAGAAAAAGGTTTACCAATGTGCTGCTCTTAAACGTAGCTGATATGCACAGGTCAAAATGTTTCCAAAGTAATCACAAGTGAATGAGTCAAATTGATGCAGATGCTTACAAAGAAAGTGGAATATGGTAATACTACCAGCTATATAAATATAATATATTTATATAACTAAATCGTAACTAATATTACTAATATATTTCATAACGCGAACTTAAATCCTAAAATTAATATCCTTATTAATTTCATTAGCTATGCGATTTCATATTATATTCCCTATTTAGCGGATTCTAAAAAGTATTTTTTTACTGAAATAATGACAGCAAGTATTCATATAAAAGGTTTAAACATCCTAGTTTTTTTATAAAGTATATTAACTTTCCTACTAACCTATCACATACAGTGTGTTCTTCCTCATATTTTTTTCTGATTTATTTTTACAAAATATGCTTTCTCATGTATTCTGTTACTGATAGTTTCTTTTTTTTTAAATCTTATTGTTGAATTATTAGATTGTTTTGTCTATTTTCCAAATGAATTTGACTTTCATGTGTTCAAATCAATTGTTTGAGTGATCAACACCTAAGGCATATATGTTAATTAAAGTGATGAAAGCCATACACTGTGTAGCAGCGAGGCTTAATAATAAGAAAGAATTAAGTGTTCTGGGCTTTCCCAAATGAGGCCCCATTTCTCTGTTCATTAAAATGAACTCTGTTAGTAAAACTCTGTTTACTCTGTTAGTAAAATTAATTATTAATATTCCACATTAAGTGGATTTAAACATACACGGTAGAGATTTTAAATGAAGCAATCATTTCACTAACATCTAATGCACCACAAGTGCCACCTATTGATCATCTTTGGCAAGTGAATCATATGTCACAGTAAAACACAGCCCCTGTAATGCATTACAAGGTTTTAACGCACATACTGAATGGCTACATCTGTACATTATAAAAGCATAGTGATTGGGAATAGTTACTTTTGAAAGACAGGAATATCTCATTTTCTAAAAGGTACAAAGTAACTGCAGCAAATGGTCCCTCAGCTATGTAACTTTATAAGACACTAAAGTTGCACAAAGTTATTTTGTTTGCCCTGTGGTTAAAGAAAAATGTTTCTTTAACCACAGGGCAATGTTTAAAGAAGAATGTTTCAATTTCTTCCATAGCTAATATTGCAACCAAATCCAGGAAAAAATGTTTTTCATTCAAGAAAAGCAAATTCTTCTCAAAAACTTTTGAGATTTTTATATTAATCTACTTTTACTTAATCACTATGATTCAAGTAATCACACAATATTATAAATTATAAAGATTGCAGCAGTAATATCTACTTGTCTTCAGCATATGATTCTACCCTGAACAGTAATAAGTATTATTATTAATTATATGGGATTATTTGTATATCTCTTTACATTTTAATCTTCCTTGTACAAAATGTTAACAAGAAACAGACAGCAAAGTCTTTCAAAACCTTTTTAAATATTATTTTAAAACTTCTCATTGAATATTTGAAATTTCCTTACAAGTCCTCGTGTCTTTTCTGTTACAAAAAATATTTAAGTTTGTTATGCACGCTAATAGCCTTATTAATAGCCTACAAATTTGTTAGTGTCCACATACAATCCTCTCTCCCTCATTTTACACCTAATTAATTATATTACTCCTTAATTGATTTCAATTTACTGGCCCAAATACTGTATATATATATTTTTTACTGATCGAGTCAAGCACGGGGTTATTTACGTAAGCTTAACTGTACCAGTGGGTAATCTCTAGTGTAAATGCCTCTGCCTTAGCACAGGAAGGGTGGTAGGAACAGATGATGGATTTTCAATTTGAAAAATGGCCACAGGGACAGTGATTGGATTATAGTGCTTTAAAATACCAGTTTGGCAGTAGTGTTACAGTTATTCAAAATTGCTGACATTATCTGTCCTTGGCAATGAACGACAATGGCTAGAAAGTGAGCTCCAACGCACTCTGCGTGAATAGGATATTGAAAGCAAACTGCCAATCAGTACTGATAGGAAATTTTGTACTGCAAACAACTCTATGCATGCATATGCATACATATAATCTATATGTCTATTATATCATCCAAATTCCATAGCAGCGAATGCATTCTATACGACAATGACAATGAGGGTAAATAATAGATAATGGTCGTGTTCACTGACAAGAAACTATTTAAGTAAGACCTGCACTTAACCAAAGCTCTGCTTTTACTCTCTATTGTGACTAACATCAAAAATCACAGTCATGGAATTGCTTTATAGAAACTCAAAAGAAATGGGATTTTTTACCAGCAAAAATAGTCTGTATGATACCTTGTACAAGCAATTGCCATTGTAATCAAATAAGACATTACAGTGTGTATATCAGTAATCCTTGGTGATAATGCCCTGGACACTGTTCTAGCTCTAAACTGTAGGAACTAGAAAGTAAAGAAGCTAAGTGTGTCTGTAGAGTTTTCCCATCAATCTGCCTTAGTGCACACTGGTAGTACTGTAAGTTTTATCTACCAGCACTTCAATAGTTTATTCCTTTTCAAACTAGTTTACTGATATTTGATTTGTGGATATTAAATAAATAATACATGAAATGAACATGTGAAACATCCACATTTCAAAGGCATAAAAATGACTGAAATTGTTTTGATTAAAGATATAGCCACAGAACATTTCTATGCAAGAGCATCTCAATTACAAATATTTCACACTGTAGAAATCTAATGAAAATGTTGGTTTTACGATTGCACAAGGTCTAATAATAACTCTGTGATTTAAAAAAAATCATGATTAGTTGTAGGTAATGAGAGGAATTTTGACTCTACCTGTGATATCTTGCTTCTGGGGCATTTTGAACTCATAAAATGTGGGCTCTGACAGGCCCTGCATGTTCCTGGCTGTGATCTCCACCTCATATTCTGTGTTCCACTGCAGATGCTGAAGAAGGACTTGGTCACTGACACCGGGAACTGTCTTAAACATCCATGAGTCCTCTCGATCTCTCTAAAAGATACAAAGAAGAAATGTTGTAGCATGCAGTCTGGGCCATTTGGCAAATATATCTGTTCTGCATAACACATTTGTGTACTTCCAAAATAATAAAAAACTTATCTCCTTATGATTGTGCATATCATAGCTTTTAGAAGGTTTTAGAAGATTCAAGTAGACAATTTTTGAATATTGAGTAAATGTTATTAGCATAATTTTGATTAATTGATCATTCATGACTGGAGATTATATATCCATGACTGTTGAATAAGGTCTAAAACACTTCTTTAATAAATTGGGAGAGTTGAGCAAGTCTGGTGCAGACATGTGGAACAATACACAATTTTCTGTCTAAAAGATCAATTGATAGGGAGCTTCAAGTGGTTTTTGATCATGACAGAATCAAGTTGTAGTGATTGATGGGAATATGACGGTATGGTGGTACACTAATCAAGTCCTTGTATCTCATTTCCTGCACTTCCAGTGAGCACATCTTGAGTCCAGTAGGACATTGAACTTCCTTTTGCTGCTTATGCAATAGTGGTTTTCTTGTGACATAATAATGTGATAGTTATGCCATGGATGCCCTATTCACCAAACTTGAGTCCCACTGAACATTTGTGGGATGACATTGGATGATTTGTAACATCTAACTTACAACTTTCTCTCAAAGATCACAATTCATGGACAGGTGTGCATTCAACATAAAGTAACATAAGGAGCTTACAATAAAGGGATGAATGAACTATATCCTGATCAGATCACGTCTATCATGTGAAATCAAAATGATTTCTTGAACAATTTCATAAAGTCATGTACTGTAGCATATCTTGGCATAAATGGTTGTCAAGTTAGCCAATGTAACTCCTTCTAATGTACTGAACACTGTTTTAGTATATTAAAATTTGTTATACCATTAATCTCATTTTTAAGTTTACCAAACCTCATAACTACAATATTAATTGTTTTCACAACTTAAAACTGGCACAATAAGCTTCAAAATCTCCAGGTAGTTCATTAATACTGAAAATACAAAACTACTATTAGCGGCATCACACCAAGTCCTTAGGTGAGCAGTCCTGAAGCAATTCAATTGCCCACCTCAAAGGAAAAAATAGGGATTTTATTGCTATACCTTCAAAGGCAAACCTGTGCCCAGTTCCATATTATACTGGTAGCACATTAACATGAAAATGGAAAAAGGAAGAACATTTTTTGCAAGGAAATGTACTTCAAAAAGGCATTAAAAACCATTTCTTACTATATACTGCCTGATGAGTTTGCTCTGAAGATTTTCTTTCATTCTAAGTTCAATCTAGAAAAAAAAATATTTCCAAACTAAAAAGTCTTGTGTTTCATTTGGAAAAGTGAGAGACATTTATGCTCTCTGGATCCTGTCCAAGATCCAAAATGATATTCTTTAAAAACTCAATCTTGGAATTCTTTTCATTTTTTAAACTTAAAATACCTGAGTTCTTTTGAAAAACTAGACAGAAAATCACAGCTTGCACACTTGTCAGTCACTTGGCACTTTATAGATTAGACTGAAACATCTCAATTTTCCATTTTTCAGATCCATGAAAAACAGGGCTGCAGATGAACTTTCAAAAATGCCTAATTAAGGCCTCCCTATTTGACACCATCTAGCATGGACCTAAAGCATATCTGCATAAATTATCCTTTGATGCATAAAATAATACAAATTTCATCTAGAAATAAATATATAAATATATAAATGTGTGCAGTTGAATATTTTTAAGAATACTTGTGAACTAAATGTTGAGAAAATAAAAAGTTAGTTATTAAATATATTATATTAAGTAGTTAATATAAATGTAAACATATTTAAATCTGTTTTGTATTGGTTAATATAGTATAGTATAAAACAAGACAGTAACTGGATTCCAAGTGCATGCTTAATTTATATCTGTAGATTACTTAAAATCATCATACTAAACAAACACACATGCAGAAAAAGCACAATACAATATAAGAATATTTACAGCACTATCAGTTTTTGTAAAGTAACTTGAATACAGATAACTTTCTTGATTTGTAACCTTTCCACATTCTACAAATTAAATACAGCCGGGGATTTCTCCTTATTTGGATGGTGAGTCTTGGCCATTGTAAAAGCTACAGTAGCTGTAGAGTCTGAGATAAGATTATCTTTATTTTCCATTCTTTTCTTTTTTATTTTATTAAGGCCATTGAAATGTCAATGAACTGCAGTGAAGCAAGGAGAGAGGGACCAAAGGGAGTGATGGCACTCCGTCAGATCCAATAGCATGTCATGTTTAATAAGGTGAGACTTCACCAACTTCATGAAGGGAAAAAAAAAAGTTATTAGCTAAAAGGTCACAGCATGGCACCCCAAGATATGGAATAACTATGCCCTTTCATTACCCTGCTAGAGTATTTATAACACACACCATGCTTGACTTCACATGGCAGATAAACCCAGAGCAAGGCTCCAGCAGTATATGTGGTTAACAGATAAAGATGGATCGTGCAGAGAGAGACCTGGAGTTTATCTCACATTGCCAAGGTGAAGCTAATCAAGAACAATATGTAGTTCTGTTTATTTGGTTCACTTCTTGTTTTTTATTTTAAATAATGATAAGATGGATTCTAGCTCAAGTGACAAGCTTGTACCAGACTGACCTGATTGTGCCTAATCTTAAATTTCAGCCTGATTTTTTGTTTTAAACACATCTAGATATTTCTTACTTACCTATTTTATCTTGTGGAAATCAGCTGAAACTGAACACTGCAGGAATCATAAAATGGTATTATATTAGTTAGCAAGTTTCTAAATGATATGACCATGCTAACTTTGCTGTACTTACAACAATAACATGTTTTCAATGAACCTCAGTGTCAGGAGTGCCACTGGGTCAAGGATCAGTGGAATTACAGCCACTACATTGGTAGTGGTAGTGGGTACTTCACTACATTGAATTACTGAGACACAGGTTACACTTACTAGAGGCTATACATTTAAAACTTCTGTATACACTTCCTATCTTCATTATTTTCTCATGGTTTTTGTGGCTTAATTTCTCTCTTTTAAGCTACTGACATGGTGCAATTTTCATCGTTGTAGTAACACAAGAAAGTGCTTTGGCTCCTCAAGAAGGATTTATTACTTGTGCCTACTATGCATAATAGATTTATTAAATACTTTGAAAAGATTTATCTTCAGACTCGATACACAAAATGTAATAATTAGTTAATAAATATACACTACAATTGTGTTTCTATGAAAGCTTATTTTAAGAAAGACGTCAGATAAACAATTGTATTTTTAAAGCAAGTCATGCAAAGCTAATTCTGCATTATATCAGTGTATGGGTGAAGCAATTATTCATCTAATGTGTTCCTTTTATATTGTTGAAGCTCAGAAAGTGGATTCTGTCAGGTACAAAAGGGATGCTGAAATGTTTAAAAGGCTTTGATAGGTTTCAATTGAAGCAAAAAAAATCTAAGAAATGAATGAATTTTGAGGAGCATAGCTGCAGTAGACTCACAGTCCTGTACTTGATAATATACTCCACGATGGGCGTCCCTCCATCGTCCTGCTTGATAAGGCTGAGCCTGTAGGACTTCCCTCCTCCTCTCTGCCCATGAACTGAAGGGGGGCTAGGTTCTCCTGATAGGGAGCCATAACAGAAACCAAAACATGAGACTCTGCAGTGTGTTCTCACATCACTGAATATCAAAAGAACATCAGCAAAGAATACAGATCACACAGTACTTCAACATGAAGAAAACATGGGAAACATGAAGGTCAGGGCTTTTGACATGGTTAGTGGTATGAGCTAATATTCTAAAAACAAGCTAAGAAGCACAGAGTTTGGCTTTTGATCTGAAACCTGTTTGAAGATGTGATGTCTGTTTCTTTGGAAGTCATGAATTTATGATTTTTCTGAACTTTTTTTAGAGATCTTTTTGTGCCTGTTGATTTGGAAATATGGGAAAATTCATCTGTATATAGAAGCTGTTTTATCTTGCAGCAATTAAAGTATGGCTATTCAGTATTCTTTATATCACTCCAATGGCCTCTCAAGTTTAAACACTGACTGCCCCTGACAGTTTATCTAGATCCCGGATCTATTTATTATATCAGGTCATTTCCTAATATCATAATTAAACCACAAGATGTAAGCATTTGATCTAACAAAGTGTTTATCTGTCTCTATCGGCCCTGCTGTAGAACATGGAACATAAATAAGAAGCCAGTCAGTCACTGTTCCCTAATTAAAACAAATCCCAAAACAATTTATTTTTAAAGGATCCAATGTTTTATTTTAATTTCAAATTAAAATGGTAAATCAATTTATGATGGATTAAAAATAAGAATAACATAAAATAAAGCAGTGTGCAATAAAAGCCAACCAATATCATTGATAAGCCTGATTTTGTCTGCCTTTCATTGTCTAGCTTACTGTCGGATAGGAAATTATATAAAAAATGATCATTACAGCAGTCTCTATTACATACTTAAATTTGATTTATTACATATTATTAAAAATGATCAGTGACAGAACAATATCTGAATCCTAAATAAAACAAATATACTATTTTATTAGAAAGGAAACCAATTAAAGAAGGTGAAAAGAGATTTAATTAATTGTGCCTTGAATTCAAATCTTTACATTTATGAAGAGGTTAAAGGGAAGAGTGAAAAAAGTGAATCTTAAAACACAACTGCATTATTCCTCCCTGGAAAGCATTTAATTTATGCGCTATTAGCAATTGATGACTTACAGTGTGAATACAAGTAAATATATATATATTAGGTTTATATTCACATTATTTTTAGTGTTCAATTTTATATTCAAATATGTTCATTTTTTAGTGTTAATTTTAAAACTGCAGCACACTTACTACAATTTGGTTACGTCTTTCTGTAAACAGCTGAAGAAATTTCATTCAAAATGTCCTTAACACATAATTCTTTGATCATTTAAACCTTGGATACAACATAACAGAACTTCAGTAAATCTACAATATATTCAAGGTGATTTTACAGGACCTTGGGAATTTAGTATTCTTGCATGCAATGAAAAGTAGATGCATGTGTAAAGAGTGCACTTACGGATGGCCAGGGTCTGAAAACTCTCAGTGCGGCTGAACTCTCCTTGGCCTTTTCCATTGACAGCTGCCACACGGACCTCATATGTTGTGTTAGGCTCTAAATTGGTCAGCAGGACCATCGCTGTAAAACAGAAAAGAAAAATTAAAAGTGAGGAGATGGAAAAGATAGGTATTACAATAGGTAATGTGTGTAAAATGCAAGTGCCTTCTCTTTTTCCATTGATTCAGCCTCACAGTCAACTATGAAATTTACATTGCTACATTGCTAAATCAAATATTTGCAGATTATCAAATAGCCTGCACAATGGGGACAATCTTTGTCCCATAATAAAATTTAATTTTTATATTAATTTTACATTTTTATTAATTTTATATATCACACTATGTTAAATATTAAATTAAAATACAAAAATTAAGTAGGGCTGTTTACTGCAAGATTACAGCAAGATTACTGAGCCACTTATATAAAAAGTACTTTCTTGTTATAGGCCATTGAGAATTAAATGTTTTTTTTCTGGATCACATCTGCATTAAAATATCATTAGATTATATCATATCTATATTTGTCAATGCTAACTTAAGTAAATAATTAGGAAACAGATCATTTCATTTTAGATTTCATTTATAAAAAAATATTTTACACATCCTGTACTGTGGTGGCTTTAAAACAGTACAATATCATACTGTACTTACTGTATATACTTAAACTTTGTATATTATATTTATGTATCTATTATTTAATACTGCAGTTGATTACTGCACATTATGATATAATGCACAGCACTGCACAGTCCAAATACTGGGAGGTTAATTGTTTCATGGAAAACTGGCCCCGTTGTGAGTGTGTGTATCTGAATAAATTATGAATTGCTGAGAACAGCTAATGCCTGCTAATTACCTGTAAATAATTATATCTAGATGAAGGCAGTCTGCAAGAATGGCTGCAATTGATGTATGGATATCTCTGAATATAGCTTCATGGAATTTTTTAAGAAAAACAAAGGAGGGAAGAAGGGGGGAAAGGAGATCAATTCAAACACATCAGATTAGTGATTTTTTCTTAACATCACAAATCTTGTTTTCATATTTAATCTATTTCTCACAACCCTCATCTTCTTATTCACTATTTCTACTTCCATCTGCTATTTCAGTGGTGACATCACCCTTTGATCCTTGTGATTGTGTATGACTCGCAATATTAGGCAATAAAAAGTAGAATCTCAATTATATTCGCCACTGTATCAACAGTTACAACATCTGAAAAAAATCTTTATCTTGGAAGTATTTTTTTGTAATTACTATTCTTGCAAATAAACTTTATATTGTTGTTCAGTTTGTGTCTGTATTCATTATATCCAGTTTATATATTGCACCCCACTTAACTCTAGATGTAAGTATAGTGGATGGTATATCTGGGGGCGAGTCCAGGATCTTTGATCCATTTTGTGTAACCAGAATTTTTTTTTTCTTGGTGCATGTGTGCTTTTATTTGATCTTTTATAAAAAAATTACTCCTGTTTCGTAATTAAGATATTTTTTTTCCTTGTTGCAACAGAACTCATGGCTGTGCAGCGTAAAACACTTATGTAGTTCATACCCTTGCATTATCTTGCAAATGTCTGTCACTCTCTGCAACACCGAATGACTAAATAGTTAATACTTCCAAATAGTTAATAAAATGGTTGCAATTTTGTTCTCGTTTGGAGGTGGGGAAATTCTGACAACAATTGATTAAAAGACAATCTGTCAAAGTGCATTGAAATACAATATTACGCTGGGTAAACGTTCCGAGGTCAAATTCTTCCGCGACGGGGGCACCTTTAAAGGTCTTAGCTGGAACACATCATTATATCTCATTTTTTATTCTCCCTTCTAAACGAGAATAAAATTGCAACAATTTTATTAATGGGCTGTTTCAGTAACTCAAAGTATTTATTTAAAGTAATAATTTAACAATAAATGTAAATGTTTTATGATATGTCACTGTTGTGAATGTCTGTAGAGTGTATCTTATTTTTAATTTTGGTTTTAGTTTTGTAGCCAAAGGCTACATTATCATTACATTATCATTCTCACAAGGAAGATTAATAAACATAGACATAAACATAATCTCATGGCTAAATAGTCAAGTCTAGCCAAAAGAGAAAACATCAAGTTTATTTAAACTCCAACTAAAGTATTAATGGTTTTTAATTACCGTACTTTTATGGAACATGACTTTGCCAAAATGTATTTAAAAATAAAAACGATTACGATTGGCACGCCTGTAGCTTTTTCGCACGCCTGAGAATGCCCATTGTCTTTTCATTGATAAGCTTGTGTTAACAGAAACCACAGTATGCTTAAGAGTTGTCAGACCGGTTTTTATTTATTTTTCGGCACAGGTCAGGTCTGTTTTTTTCTGGAAAACCATAACTCTGGTCTTGTCCAGATTGACTGTCAGCGTAATCCTGGTCTGTGAGGATACCAGGAAGACAATAGCATATGTTGTTTCTATTCGAAATGTGTATTTTCAAAGTTTAATTAAAAAGTAAAAACCTTACAGTGTACACAGATTTCTAAACTGATCAGGAGGAAGAAAAATCACCCATGTTTCGTGCATAAAAAGTGGTTAATAACAATCAAAACCTGTTTATTTTATTTTTATTTAGATTAAGAGTTCCCGTCACCCCCATTTCCATTTAAATCGCAAACCTGTGTAAGTGTCTTTATTGATTCACAATCTAGCAAGGCAACGTAAATCGTTATCTTTGTCTTCTACATAATAATGTTCACCTCTCTGTCGAATTCGCTGCAGCCAAATGGCCTTGCAGATCAGAAAAGCAAGGAACAAAACAATTATTGCGCCTGGCTCCTCAATGGGATAGTTTTAACTTGCTAATGCATTGGCGTAACAGTCTGGGTGTGGCAAGCTTCTAATGTCTCCCGACTTCGGCGAAAGGAACCTGTCTTTCATGGGCACTCTTTTCCTCTAGTTTAGCAGTCTGTCCAGAAACAAAACATTCCCGTTAAACAAGAGGAATGTTAAAAAAAATAGTATAAAAGTAAAAAACAATTACTTTTTGACATTGAAAACTGGTGTGTGTGTCTCTCTCTCTGCTGGCGCGCGGGCGCGGTGGGGTGCTGTACCAGCCGTACAGAACATTAAAGTGTCCCTTTCCATTCAACAGTCGTCTGAGTCGCTGTGTCCTATCTTCTGATATTCGCTGTTGTGAATGTCCGCACCCCTCTCCCTCTCCCTCTCCAAACACAGCTGAATGAGCTTCACCAGTCAGGACAGAAGGCTCTACTGTACACAGAGAGGGGCAGGAGGGGGGAACAAGCTGCCCAGCCGTGTGGTTGAAGCTGATACCCTGGATTCTCTCCAGACAAAGCTGTATGAGCTCCACCAGTCGGAACAGGAGGCTCTACTGTACACAGAGAGGGGCGGGACGGAGGAACAAGCTGCCCAGCCATGTGGAATGCTACAGAACCCTAAACAGACAATACACACTAGCCGAATAATTGACCAAGATAAGAAACAACAAAAAGAAATAGACCCTGATGAAGTACAGGCTCAGTGACCACAGCCTGGCCATAGAAACTGGGCGACACAGGCAGACCTGGCTGCCCAGAGAGGACAGGCTGTGCTCCCACTGCCAGCAGGGAGAAATAGAGACAGAGTTGTACTTCCTACTGCACTGTGACAGATACTCTGGGATTAGAGAAACATTCTTCCCTAAATTCAGAAATCTAATCCCAGAGTTCCCACACCTGCCAGAATCACAACGGGTCCCAATCCTACTGGGAGAGGGAGGAGGGAACTCAGTGGAACTGGCAGCCCAGTATGTGATCTCCTGTCACAGCCTGAGGAACAGTGAGCCTATCTCCCAATAATGCTCCTTCTGTCTACAGTATATGTCAATATTTGATAATATGTCTTTGTTGTAAATGTCTGTAATATGTCTGTAGATTTGATATTTGAAATTTATTTATTTTTTTTGTTTCATGTGAATCTCATTATTTTATTTGCTTTGGCAACACTGATTGTACCCATCGGTCATGCTAATAAAGCACCTTGAATTGAATTGAAATTGAGAGAGGGCGAGCGAGAGAGAGAGAGAGGGCGAACGAGCGAAAGAGAGAGAAACACCCAGGGGTGCAGAACCAGGGAACTATTTACATGGAAAACGGGCGATCTCCCCAGACTGTACCCCCGTTTCACTGTGGGACAGCTGCACTGGTCAGTGGCCTTCCTATGCCCCGCCCTGACCACTTCCACTCCTGTCCTTCCCCTCATCGCGTACCCCAGCCGGGCGCTCTTCAGCCACTGCCCGGGGCGAATGCGCTATAATAGATGAGCATACTGTAGAGGAAAACAGTATAGGCATCGTTGATATGAGGACTTTTTTAACCAAATTCCCCAAATTTAATATGTCCTTTTCTATATTGGTACAGTAGGACTAATAGGTTCTAGTAAAATCTTACAGTATTCAGAATTGGTAATGGTTAGAAATCCCATTTTATGATAAGGGACTCTGGTCGCTATCCTAAACGGAAAGCAACTCAGTTTATACTACAGTATATTTCGCTTTGCTTGGTGAAATTGGCATGGTCACTTGTTCTCAATATTTATAGATATCCATCAATACCACATCATTCAACACTATTATCATTTCAGGGAAAGATATTCTGCTCACAATATGCATGAAGGTGTGGGTTTAAACACTAATTGTAACAGCTCTTATCCATTACAAAAGGGTGGAAATATTCCATTGTAACAAGAAAAGGAAGTAGATAGATTACATAGGTTTTTATATAATAAATGCATTTAATTTACTATCCTCAGATGGCTGTTTATTCTCATTATAAGAGCTTGCTTTGTTGGAATTACTTGCTAATTCCAACTGAATCAATTAATTTCTTTCCTCAAATATAACAATGAGAATTATGTTTAGGAAGAAATTATTTTTTCAAAGAAATGTTTGTTAAAAGAAAAGTCATGGCGCTGGCTGGATTCAAACAGCCAACCTCTCACTTACAAGTCCGGCACCTAGACCACAGTCTTTTACAAAGACGGTCAATGAAAAAAATAATGTGGACCAGGGCAATACTTTGAGTTTCCAGCTTGTCCAAGGTCAT